CCCCAAAACCCCAAAACCCCAAAACCCCAAAACCCCAATAATATCAACTAAGATTGAGTAATTTCAAATAAAATTGAATATGAAGTCTAATTCGTTCCATACGAAGCCAAACACTTTGGAGGAGAAGCCTCTGTTTAGGTATACGAATCTTCACAACGAGCTAAAAACTATAAAGAGAGTCAATCGATCAACTGACGAGTTTAAGAAGATTATCTCACAGTAATTTCGCCTCTCTCAACATCATCTCTAGGTTAGGTGGAGAAAGGCAGAAATAAGCTCCAGAAAAGGAAGAATATCAGTGCAATGAAGCTTATTAGGAAATAAGCTCAATCAGTCACAGCTTGAAATCACTAAATATTGTCAAGCGTAGGCTAGAAAGACTATTCTTATAGCAAAAACAGCCATAATTTATCTCTACAACATCAGTTGTTGTTACCTGCAGAGATAGAGAGGAGGGAGAATTTTGGATTTAAGTCTAAACCTAAGCCAACGAGCTCAGTGAGGTAAGATTGATATGATGACTTTGAAGAATGCACAGAAGAGCAGCCACTTCTACAGATAAAGCAGGACCCTCTACTTCGAAAATAAGTGCTCCGCTCAATATTTTCTCTGACAGCATTATTGAAAAAGAGGATATCAAGCCTTCAAAATTAAAACCTAGGCTTTCGAAAAATTCAAGAAGCAAGGATTGACAGAGTGTGACATTAAAGAAGCGAAGAAGAGTAATATTTACAATCTAGCTCTAGAAATTTAAACAAGAGCCTTGCAGCAGAGATCTCAGCTTGGAAGTAATTCTAGTTTTTAATTTCTAGAACACCAAAAAGTCTTCAGTCATCAGCAGAAGTAAGCCATCATATTTAACTCTCTAGTACGTAAAAAGTATGAGAAGCCTTATTTAAGTATAAATGCATCTGATCTTTAGCTCCATTGTATCGTAAGAAAACCTTGAAGAGTAAATAAGTCTTCTAGAGGTAAAAGAGGTAAGTTAAAATCTAATTTGTAGCATCCCAATCTATTAAAATCCTTGATGACGATCTCTACCGCGTCTTGGGAAATATTCAAGAACAAATAGTCAAATTAGAACAACTTTTAGCAGAAAAAGATGAAAAAATTGAACGAATTAAGGCTAAGGTAGTGATACATGACTTAAAATTGTAGAAAGACTTTAGTAGTACCTCCCGTTCATCAAAATCTGGTCACTCCAAGCTAAAATTTTTATCCAAAGGGCATAGGGATGATAGGAGGAGCTCGATACATTCACAATCTCAGTGTGCGAATAGTATGACCTCACGTAGCTCAACTTCTGCACTGAATTCATCAACTGCTATAAAAAGGATGCCTGCCTTGATTTCGGATATTTTGCTAAAAACTCAGAACCTCGCTAAGGTAAGTAAAGAGTTTGATAAAAATCATGCCAAATTACGATTTAAAGCCTAAAATATTTATTTTGGACAACCCTGACTTCTGAACCTCTCTAGGAAACCAATATCTTTAACCTCGTGTTTGAAATCTCTCGTGCCAGGGGAGATTACCTCATTGAGGAGAAAGACTTTACACAAAGCCTTAAGGTGTTCAAGGGCCTCAGGACCTATTGCAAAGTTGCAGAGCTGGCAGGAGGCCGTAGCAACCTTGAAGCTGAAATGATGGTAGTAGAGCAGCTCGGCCACATGTATGGATTTGTGCAGCAGAACAAGCTTGCTGCAGACATGTTCAGAGTCATGCTTAAGCTAGCCTGGGTTTTACAAGATGCCAATATGGAGCTCAAAGCTTATGGGCACTTAGCAAATGAGCACTTCCGTATGGGAAATCTTGAGAAAGCTAAGTACTATCATGTGAGATTTACCAGAGGGCTTCTGGAGAGCGATCAGAGCAGCATGAAGAACTCTATTCTTCAATCATATAGGGATAAGATTGGGCCTGGAAAGAAGAAAGCTAATTTGAAAATCAAGACAAACAATTTGAAAAAGCTGGATGAACCAGAGATTCTTCCTTCTCCTAGTAACAACAGACACCAATGCGATAAGAACAAGTCGATTTTTGCATTTTCAGGTCATTATTACTCAACAAAGGATAAACTCAGAGATTTCAAGTCTAAAAATGATGAAAAAGAGGAAGAAACTATTGAAGAGGACGAAAATGACCACTCATGGCTTAAAGGAACGTATAAGCTTCTCTTCGTAGAGGATAAATTCCTTTTAAAACGAAAAACTGTTGTGAAGCCAAAGCCTCATTTTCTCAGTACTAAACCCATGAAAGCCATTGAAAGTATTGAAAAAGTCAAAGAGAGGGCTAATAGCTTAATCCGAGTTAAGAGAGACAAGCCTCATGCCACTCATACATTTAAAGGTATATCTCAGAGTTGATTTTTAGAAATGATTAACAACGTAGGAAGTACTGCTATCAAGAGGGAACAAAAGAACCCTCCTACTATAAACTCTCATTGATCTAGTCTTAGATCTAGGATAATGAATCCTGAAGAGTCTAAGATGAGAGAGCATCTTGAGAAAATCAAACGTATTTTGATCAAGGAAAAATCTAAATTAGAGGTAATAGAATAAAGCCAACCTTAACAGACACTTTATCTTGATCTCTATTTTAGATTCTACAAAGGGGTTTTGGGGTTTTGGGGTTTTGGGGTTTTGGGG